CCACCTTACACACCATCGTCTAGGGCTCCCGCCAGCCACTGATGTGGCCACTGACCAGCTGCCTTGAGGCAGGGGCACCAGGGTCTGGATACTGATCCTCATCATTGTCCACACCCCAGCCCTGCAGTTCTCAGGTGTCAGGGTGCTTCACCCACCCCAACCACAGGCCACCTCAGAGCCTCCTGCTCTCCTCCCATCTCTGCACCTGATGCCTCTGTTTGACCTGCCTTTCACCTTGAGAAGCCTTCCCTGACCTGCAACCACACAAGGAAACTTCTCTTGGCTTGCAGAGACTTCAGGACATCCCTTCTGATTTGACCTCAGTGACTCCCTGCCCAGTGCTCCGGTTGGACACCGATGGGGGTGGGGGGCGGGGCCCACTGGGAGGACAAGAGAGCACAGCCGGGAGAAACAGTGTGCCCAAGGGACAGAGGAGTCCTGAGACCATGAAGCCCATTCTAATCCATTACCAGCATCACTAATCCATTCTAATCCTCATGTGCCCAGGAGGCCCAGGGTGGCTCATGCACTCTGTTGCCCTGTGGGACCCTTGGGGGCTTGGCCAGGCTGCCTTGGAAGGTGGCAGCCTGGATGGACGGTGCTGGATGCCCGCTCAGTCTGGGAGGAGGAAAGAAAGTTGGGCTTTGTGAAATCTGGTTACATAGCCCAGATATTACCTCAGAGGCACCTTGGTCAAGCTACATCATTTTCCCAAGTAAAAGGAGGAAAGGGAGATGATTGCAATAGAAAATAACTAGCAATACACATGGTTACTGGGTGACTGGAAACCCTGACACCCTCCCTGTGCTTTCCTGCTGTGCACATTTGCCTTTGCTCAGACTTCAGACTGAAGTCCCCTCGCCCATCCTTTCTGGATGCAGTGGCGTGTCCTCTGCCAGGTTCAAGCTGCACCTCCTGTGATGCCAAGTGCGAGCCTTCCATGCCTCCAGGATCCTGGTTTAGTCCTCACCGCCTGTCAGAACAGAGCTCTTCTCAGGAGAGACACCATACCATTGTCTTCAGCCAGGTTGCCCCCAACTCCACAGCCAGTCTTTGGGAAATCCACATACACCTTTCACCCCCAACAAACTTGGGTAGGAGCCCTGATCCTGCATCACCCCCTCCTTTTCTCCTGCCAGCCACCCTTCCAGTCCCTGAGACTCTGGGGCAAGTGGAATGCAAACCCAGCTCTAAACAGTGCCCCAGAACTCTGGGAACACCCACCAGCTCTCTGTGTAGATCAGTTGACAAGGAAAATGAGACCCACAGGTAACTCTTTCAATCAAGGACACCACTAGTCACTAGGAAATGGCAGACCCAGTGGGGGACCCAATCCCTCCACTAACCCAGCATGCTGTCCACCAGTCAGGGACCAGTGGAGGGCAATTTGTCTCTCCCTCCTGCCCTCTGCAGGAAACAGGGAAGGTTCCAATGAGCTGTGAGGGTGGACTTGGGTGAGGGCTGAGCATCAGAACACTCTCTCTGCTCAGGGTCTACTTCCTCCTTCCCAATGACCACTTCAGGTGAAGCAAGAGATGGGAGGCTAAGTCCCCCTGGAAACTCCTCATCCAGGCTGGGATTTCCCAGGCACAGAGTTTGATGAAGCAGGCCAACTGGCAGGGGGGCAGCACCATCCCACCTCCAGGAACTGGGGGGGTGAGGTGCATAAAACCAACAGAGGCTGCACTAGCCACGCCATAGCCAGAGTACTTGGAGGGCATCAGGATGACTGCTCTGAGTCAGCCTTGAGCCCAATCACTCCAAAGGCCTCAGATGAGCCAACCTCAGGCTCCAAATCTCACCACCACCAAGCACAGCAAACCTCCTACCAGCTCCTCTCCGGGGGATCTGGGGCTGTGTGACAAGGTGACCTGGGCCCGCCTTGGGGCTGAGCGGGAAGGTGCCTGAGCTTTGCAGAAGAGAACCAGGCTCAGGCCCAGCCCCAGGCAGTGAACAGACTGTGGGGCATGGGTACCATTCTTGTGAGTGGGTTTTTACTGGGGACATGGGTGTAGAGAGGGCAGCTGGGTCCCAGCCCAGACCTATCAGGAAATAGACTGAGGGGATGTTTTCTCCCCAGACAGGACCCTGGACAGGCCCAGCCCCAGGCAGTGAACAGACTGTGGGGCATGGGTACCATTCTTGTGAGTGGGTTTTTACTGGGGACATGGGTGTAGAGAGGGCAGCTGGGGTCCCAGGCCAGACCTATCAGCAAATAGACTGAGGGGATGTTCTCTCCCCAGACAGGACCCTGGATATCTTGGGTACATCAAGAAGGCAAATCCTCCCTCATTCTTATACCAGGACAAACATTTGCAAACCCTCAGGATCTCAGGGTCAGCCTCTGACCTTCAAGGAGACCACGGCCTTCAAGCAGGAAGTGAGCTGAACCTGTCTAGACATCAACTTCTGGGAGGATGGAGGAAGACAGGGCCCTTCACACGAAACCCACACACTCCTCCCCCTTTCCTGGGTGCCTCTGTGTTCCCTTCCCACTGACTGGCATGTTTAGTGGATGTCTTCCATCCGTCCATGAGTGCCCTGGGAAGGTAGAAACACTCCTCCAGCAGCTCCTCCCAGGTTTTGCCATCTACTATGCACTTTGAATACACAGAAGAATACACAGAATACACTGAACTGTACAAAAAAGATCTTCACGACCCAGATAATCACAATGCTGTGATCACTGACCTAGAGTCAGACATTCTGGAATGTGAAGTCAAGTGGGCCTTAGAAAGCATCACTACGAACAAAGCTAGTGGATGTGATGGAATTCTAGTTGAGCTATTTCAAATTCTGAAAGATGATGCTGTGAAAGTGCTGCACTCAATATGCCAGCAAATCTGGAGAACTCAGCAGTGGCCACAGGACTGGAAAAGCTGTTTTCATTCCAATCCCTAAGAAAGGCAATCCCAAAGAATGCTCACACTATCGCACAATTGCACTCATCTCACACGCTAGTAAAATAAAGCTCAAAATTCTCCAAGCCAGGCTTCAGCAATACATGAACCGAGAACTTCCAGATGTTCAAGCTGGTTTTAGAAAAGGCAGAGGAACCAGAGATCAAATTGCCAATATCCGCTGGATCATCGAAAAAGCAAGAGAGTTCCAGAAAAACATCTATTTCTGCTTTATTGACTATGCCAAAGCCTTTGACTGTGTGGACCACAATAAACTGTGGAAAATTCTGAAAGAGATGGGAATACCAGACCACCTGACCTGCCTCTTGAGTAACCTGTATGCAGGTCAGGAAGCAGCAGTTAGAACTGGACATGGAACAACAGACTGGTTCCAAATAGGGAAAGGAGTACGTCAAGGCTGTATATTGTCACCCTGCTTATTTAACTTATATGCAGAGTTCATCATGAGAAATGCTGGGCTGGAGGAAGCACAAGCTGGAATCACGATTGCCAGGAAAAATATCTATAACCTCAGATACGCAGATGACACCACCCTTATGGCAGAGAGTGAAGAGGAACTAAAAATCCTCTTGATGAAAGTGAAAGAGGAGAGTGAAAAAGTTGGCTTAAAGCTTAACATTCAGCAAACTAAGATCATGGCATCTGGTCCCATCACCTCATGGGAAATAGATGGGGAGACAGTGGAAACAGTGTCAGACTTTATTTTGGGGGGCTCCAAAATCACTGCAGATGGTGACTGCAGCCATGAAATTAAAAGATGCTTACTCCTTGGAAGGAAAGTTATGACCAACTTAGATAGCATATTAAAAAGCAGAGACATTACTTTGCCAACAAAGGTCCATCTGGTCAAGGCTATGGTTTTTCCAGTGGTCGTGTATGGATGTGAGAGTTGGACTGTGAAGAAAGCTGAGCGCCAAAAAATTGATGCTTTTTAACTGTGGTGTTGGAGAAGACTCTTGAGATTCCCTTGGACTGCAAGGAAATCCAACCAGTCCATCCTAAAGGAGGTCAGTCCTGGGTGTTCATTGGAAGGACTGATGCTGAAGCTGAAACTCCAGTACTTTGGCCCTCATGTGAAGAGTTGACTCATTGGAAAAGACCCTGATGCTGGAAGGGATTGGGGGCAGGAGGAGGAGGGGATGACAGAGGATGAGATGGCTGGATGGCATCACCGACTCGATGGGCATGAGTTTGAGTCAACTCCGGGAGTTGGTGATGGACATGGAGGCCTGGCGTGCTGCGATTCATGGGGTTGCAAAGAGTCGGACACGACTGAGCGATTGAACTGAACTAAACTGATGCACTTTGGAAAGACAGATGGGACCAACTTCTGGGGAGAATGATGGACTGGAAAGCAGAATGTAATCTCCTCCATTTCTCATGAATCTACCTTTCCTCTGATCCCAGGTCCAACCTCAATAGATCCAGGTGGCACTTGCTTTTCTTATTTCCAAAAAACAATTTGGAAGCCAGAAAAAATTAAACCAGAAAAAAAGAAGGAAAAAGACAGGACTCCCCTAGTGATGCAGTGATAAATAATCCATGCATCAATGCAGGAGACACGGTTTCGATCCCTTGTCCAGGGAAATCCCACATGCCGTGGGACAACTAGACCTGTGGGCCCAAACTCCTGATCCTGTGCTGGAGAGCCCACGTGCTGCAACTAGTGAAGTGCCCTGTTCAGCCATCTGGGAAGCATCCTCCTTGCTCCCAGCCCCCAGGCTCACCCCATTCTCCTTGAACTCACACTGCTCCGGGGGCTGCTGGGTGGTCCTGGAACACACAGTCTCCTTCACCCTGAAGCTCACCCGCTTCGGGGTGTCTGGGTCTTCATCCTGGTCAAGGATCAGAGTGGGGAGACTGGGCTTGGGCTCAGGCTTCCCTCTCTGCTCTGTGTCCCTGCTCCCCCATCTAGAGGGTCCCTTCCCCAGTCCCCTCCCTGACTCACATCCTGAGGAGGCTGGTCCAGCTCGAGAAGACGGTAAATATTAGGTTCTGAGGATTGCTCATTGAGCTGATCCACAGCACAAAGCACGGCCTCCCTGTAGCTGAGGGCCTGGGCGCTGGCCGAGGGCAGCACTAGTCCCAGGAGCAGTAGCCACAGAGACCACCATCCCAGGAGAGGCTGGCCCTCTGGGTCTCCATGATCCCCAATCCGCCTCCTCCCAGCCGGAGGGACCCCCTTTTATGCTCAGCCTGGCCCTGTTGCAAAGACTCAACCTGACTTGCCCCATCCCTGCCCTCCTCCCAGGGTGTGAGGTGGACTTGCCTCAGCCCCTGCTGCTGCTTCATGGGATTGCTGGGCAGTGGGCAGGGAGGCCCCTGTGCAAGGTGAAGAAATGGTTTCTCCATCTCCCTGACAATATCTCGGCCTCTCCTGGGGTCCATGGTAGTGTCACAGGCAGGGTTGCTCAAAGGGGTTGAGTCCTCCAGGCGAGGGAGGGACCAGGCACGGTCTACATCCCCTCTGACTCCACACCATGGACTCCTCAGGATTCGGGGTGAAGGAGTGTATCAGGAGTCAGCCTCCAACACTTGGCACTGCCTGGAACCCAGTAGAGAGTCACTTAACATTTGGTGAGGGGATGACAGTACCACATCTAAAGATGTACACACCAGAATTGATGGGAGAGCACTGTGTGACCCTACCATTGTGGCTAGGCTCTATGGGAATGTAAATTGTAAATCCTCTGTAAAACACAAAAGATAGGAAGGGAAGGGAGTACTCGCAGAGACAGGTCATGTTTAAACTTGAACTTCTCCTGAATGGGTCACTCCTTTGCAGGGTTACAGTTGCACTAACAAGATTATCTCCCCCAGTGGGCAACTTGAAGGCCCCTGTACTAGTCCTTTCCCTCAATCCCATGATCCCAACAGGCAGTTAAATACTAAGCAACTGTCATCTGCTTTACGAATGTCAGAAGTGAGAGCCCTAGTTGACTTGCAAGACTGCATGGCTCCAGAGTAAAGAAGGGTGGGGAGTGTAACACTCATGAGTCTCTAATCTGGCTCTCTGGTGCAGGAGGGAGATGACCTCGATCTTGCGGAGCCCGCAGGCTCTCCAGCTCACTCTGGCCCTCATCAAGCCTGATGCAGTTGCTCACCCCTTGATTCTGGAGGTAAGAACACGTCCTAAGCCTCTACTGTATGCCCTGGGCATTGCTTCTGTTTCAGCTGCCACAGGGCCATTTGTGAAGACTGACAACACAGTCCTGTGCTAGATGGTGTGGAGGCAAAGCTAGACGTCTTGGATGCTGACCCCAAGCAGACTAAAAATCTGTTGGAGAACTGAGGCACTTATAAAATATAACCACTGGTAGTCCAGTGCTGAAGAATCTGCCTTGATGCAGGGAACATAGGTTTGATCTGTGATCAGAGAAGTAAGATCCCACTGAGATTGGGGAACTAAGGTGGGGAAACTAAGCCCACGTGCCACAACTACTGAAGGCCATGGGCCACAGCAAATCATTCTGCATGAAGCAATGAAGATCCTGCGGGCTGCAACTTAGACCCCAGGCTGTGTGCTGTGCTTAGTCACCAGCCATGTCCGACTGTCTGCAGCCCCGTGGACTATAGCCCCCAGGTTCCTCTGTCCATGGGAACTGTCCAGACAAGAATACTGGAATGGGTTTCTATGCCCTCATCCAGGGGATCTTCCCAACCCAGGAATGGAATCCAGGTCTCCACCTTGCAGGCAGATTCTTTAAACACATGCAGCCAAAGAAACAAATAAATAAAAATTTTTTTAAAAAATTAAAGAAAGGCTCTAATACAGTAAGAAGAACCAAACCTCAAGACAGTGTATGTATACTAGTTGTCTACTGTGTATGTGCTCAGTCATGATTGGCTCTTTGTAACTCCATGGATTATAGCGTGCCAGGCTCCTCTGCCCATGGAATTTCCAGGCAAGAAGACTGGAGTGGGTTGCCATTTCATCCTCCAGGGGATCTTCCTGACCCAGAGATCAAACCCTTATCTCCTGTGTCTCCTGCATTGCAGGCAAATTCTGTACCACTGCACCACCTGGGAAGCCCCAGTTCTCTATTGCCGCATAACAAATTACCACACACTTAGCAACTTAAAACAGCATTCATTACCTCACAGTTCTAGAATGTAGAGGTCCAGTAGGTTTGGCTGAGGGCTAGGTTCTCGCCTTAGGGTTTCACAAACCCAAGTCCAGGTATCAACTCACTGGGCCCTTATCTCCAGGGTGTGGGGAAGAATCCATTTTGAAGCTCATTCAGAATGGCAGGATTTGATTTCTGGGACCATAGGACTGAGGTCCCCATGTCCTAGCTGGCCTTCAGGTGGGGACTACCATTTTTAGTGACTGCTCACATTCCTCATACATGACTTACTCCCATCTTCAAGATAGCAACAGGGAGTCTCTTTTCTTCAAGTTTTAGGCTGTAAAGGTTCCCCAGGAGTCTTTTGGTTAGCCTGGGTCTCCCGTTCACTCAGATGCTCCCTGTCACTGACTTTTATCTTTGGGATGGCGTTCATCCAGGCTGTTCATCAGCAGATTCTGAGCAACAAGTTCCTTATTGTGCGAATGAGAGAACTCCTGTGGAGAAAGGAAGACTGCCGGAAGTTTTACCGAGAGCATGAAGGTAGGAGCCGAGCGTCCTCTGAGCGGGAGGCTTCTCTATCCCGGAAAGATTTTACCGACACCCACGTCAGGTTCGCACTGACGTCAGTTGGGTCACTCTGTGTGTCTGACTCTTTGCGACCCCGTGGACTGCAGCACGCCAGGCTTCTCTGTCCATCACCAACTCCCGGAGCTTGCTCAAAGTCATGCCTATCGAGTGGGTGATGCCATCCAACCATCTCATCCTCTGTCGCCCCCTCCTCCTCCTGCCTTCAGTCCTGGCATCAGGGTTTTTTCCAATGAGTCAGTTCTTCGCATCAGGTGGCCAAAGTATTGGAGTTTCAGCATCAGTCCTTCCAATGAACATTCAGGACTGATTTCCTTTAGGATTAAGTGGTCTGATCTCCTTGCAGTGCAAGGGACTCTCAGGAGTCTTCTCCCAACACCACACTTCAAAAGCATCAATTCTTCGGCATTCACTTTCTTTATAGTCCAACTCTCACATCCATACATGACTACTGTACTTACCAACTGTAAAATTCAGCCAGTCTTCTAAAGAGTGGGTTGATAACATGAACTTTTCATGATTATCAATGTTTTTAAAATATTTTCTAGGAGGATCCTACCTCATGGTACCAACAAAAAATTTACTTTTACATCCTGATAATATCACTAGTTAACAAAAAACTCTGTCAAGCACTATCCAAAGGCTCATGATTTCATTTCATTTCCCAGCAACCCCATGAGGTAGGTATTATATCCCCAGCACACAGATTAGGAAACTAAGTTAGGCAAGTTATTGATTTACCCGAAACTACACAGGTGGTAAGTTGGAGAGCCTGGGTTCAGACCCAGATAAGTCAGACTCCCTGTTCCTTTCTGGAAAACAGTGATTATTCCCTCCTTTAGGGAGGCAGGAGTATAAAAAGTTCTCTTGGCACTGGTGTCTTAATGGAGGTCCTCTCTCCTTGCAGGACGTTTTTTCTATCAGCGGCTGGTGGAGTTCATGGCCAGGTATTTCTCATTTTGGTTCCAACATCTTCATCCACTGAGACTTATTTCCCCTGCCCCCCTAAGTAGATTTATTAATTTTATTTGCCACTCTTTAAAGTTGTAAGCAGTGTCGAGGGTCTGAAGAAACACGGGTTCGGGCTGAGACTGACCCCGTGGCCACCTGTTCTGAGGTGCTTACTGATCCAGGGGCTGTAGAAGAGTGCTGTTGAATGCTTCCTAACAACTCTGCTGTCTCGGAGGCCTTCTGTCACCTGTTTGATGCAGTACTCAGCTAGAAAGGCAAGGAGACTCTCACGATGTCCAGTGTGCCCTCCTGAACCCAGAGCCAGATTCCTGACATGTGCTCCCTTGGTTCACAGTGGGCCGATCCGAGCCTACATCCTCGCCCACAAGGACGCCATCCAGCTCTGGAGGACCGTGATGGGACCCACCAGAGTGTTTCGAGCACGCCACGTGGCCCCAGATTCAATTCGTGGGAGGTTCGGCCTCACCGACACCGGTAACACAACCCACGGCTCAGGTGAGGCTGCCTCCTGTGTCCACAGGATTCAAAGGGAATTTGGTTCAAGGACACTGGGCAGGCTGGGTGGTGGGGTTGAAAGGCAGGTCCCCCAGGGAGCTTTCCTCTCAGTTGGGTTTCTAGCCCTTTGTGGTGACCTCGGCAGATGTGGCCCAGGACTTAGGGGCAGGAGAAGTACAGGCTCTGAAGCCAATTATGACTGCTTCTTGCGTCTACCCTGCACTCCCTATGAGAATCCCTTCTCTTTCTCTCCTCCCCTTACAGTCCCGAGGGTGGCATCCACTTTGCTGCTCCAGCAGGGGGCCCGGGGCCAGCCTGACACAGGCCTGTGAGTGTGTGAAGACTGGGGCATCGCCCAACCTTCCCCACAGACCTCTGCTCCCAGAGCAGTCTTCTAGGACCAGGGAGGCTGGGGGCTGCTTGCGCCATCTCTGCTGGGCACCGCCAGCTGCGTGAGGGTTAAGCTCCTCACTGCCACCTTTTCTAGAATCTCACTGTCTATCTCTTCTCTGGAAGGTTCATGGCTGGTTCAAAGGAATGATGGCTCCTCTTTTTTCTGAGAACTGTTCGTCATTTTCAAGGAGAAGCGTGCCCAGCTGACGTGCCTAAAAAATGCAGTGACTCTCTATTAGTCACATTTAGTCTGTTTTCCTTAATAAAAGTCAGTATGCTACAGAATAAAGCTTGGCAGCACTACTCGAGGTGCTCTCTTTCTCTTTAACTGGAGTAATTAAACCTGTCCTAAGTCAAGTTTCTGGTCTATGCTAAGTTAAGAGAGAGGCAAAATCTCCCAGGAGGTTCACATGGCATACAGCTTATGTAGAGCACGAAGGCCCCTGGCATAAGCCTGCATCCTAGAAGGGGCATCTTTGGTTTGAGCAAAAGTATGTCTGCCCAGTAGTGGCATACTGTTAGGACTTTTTTTTTTTTTTTCTGATTTTCACAGAGCCACTAAAGGGAGCCATGTCTGTGCTATAGCTGAGGATGACAGTTACCTACTGCTATGACAAACCACCTCAAGATTTCATGGCTTAAAACAATAATGGCTGAACTTATCTACATGTCTGTGGATCAGCTGGGTGATTCTGCTGGGCTCACCTGGACGCACATGGCTGCGTTCAGCAGTTCGATCCAGCGTGGTCTTTCCTCCTGAGCTGCTCCTTTGCATAGTTATTTCAGGGTTCCAGGAAAGCAGGCCTCCCTCCATTCACGAGCTTATCGAGCTTCCGCTTGGGTCATGTTTGCTGATACCCCACTGTGAACGGC